AGCATGGCTGGCTGGGGAATTCTGGGAGTTGAAGTCCACACATCTTAAAGCTGCCAAGGTTGAAAAACACTGAATTAGAGTGTAAAGGGTCTCTGCAATGTGACTAGAAGACATTTTTCAGAATATATGTTACTGGGGATATTTGTGAGTGGTGATATTTGCCTTTGGGAGCCCCCTCCCCTCAGAAAGGGCCCTGGTTGCAGGATTTTCTTTGAATGTTCCTCTTAAATGGTTGCGGGTGAAGGAGGCCAAACAGCAGCTAGATAGGAGACTTGTATTCACAACTGCAGCATGGCAGAAGGGAGAAAGAAACTGTAGTCACTCTCCTTCCTCAAATGGTTGGGAAATTATTCTCCCCTCCCCAGAGAAATCCTGGGAAATGGTTCCTCCCCCCACCCTGTTTGTCAGTCTGCAAGAGCTGGAGGATTTTGAGGCATGATCTTCTAAGATCTCTGGGTTTCTCTTATCAGACTTCCCTTCCGTTACTGTCGGACAATATGGCAAGAGGAAACTATACTCACTTAGGGGATTGTCATTAATGTGAGAAGTGAGAGATTTCGTGCCTCTTATTTTCATTTGTGGAATCTTGGAGTTAGTTATAGTTGTCTTGGCTAACCAATCAGTGGAATTTGGGCTTGTTTTCATTGAGACTGAGAAAAATGGTTTTTGCCAAGACAATATTCTTGTTTTCCAGAGAGCAGGATCTGGTTCTTTTCGGAAATTATACTGAACTCAAGACCTGGCATTCAGAAGTGAGGCCCTGTACTTCTTCCCAGCCATAAACCTCAGACACGTTGAAAACAACAAATTTTGAAATTCTTTGAGTGTCTGTGCAGCTCTGAATAGCACCAGGGATAGCTCCTGAAATTTCCTCCATGTTTTGGAAGTCCGCTTGGCAGCTTGCATCTCCAGAAATAGAAGAAAAGGGCAGAAGCTTGTCTTGATTCTGTACTCTGGCCAGAGAAGATGAACTCACAAGGGACAAGTTGGCACATGTGTTGGGGATCCTCTCCAAGCCTTAGTGACGTCGCTGCATTCTGAGCTTGTCAAAGTGGCAGGAGATGACTCCCTGGGCCAGCAGCATTTTGCTCTGTTGATGCAAGAGCTGATCCTTACCAGAACTTCCACTCTGTAGGTTCAGCCTAACTGCTGTGGTCTTGATGGCATCTGTACATGTTATAATCCATTCCACAGGCCCTGGATGTACTTGGTTTCAACAGAAAATTGCCAGGATTTGCTCCAAAAACATACTCCTAGAATGAGATAACCTCAACATATCACCGTGACCTCTTACATCAGCGCTGTGGCTCCTCCCATGCCATGTCGGATAGTTATTAGAGGAAAAGTGGGCTACTCATGGAGTAAACACCCCATGGCTTAAGTCTGATATGACCTTTTCCTTGTCTACTTTATGATATTTTGCAGGCCTTTCTCTGCCCATTATTTACTGACTGTGGTAGCTTCTTCTGGATCCTGAATAAAGGGATTTTGTGCTCCCGACTGAAAGTTATAGTGGGGAGAAACCAGAGTAACGTCCTGGCATTGGTGTGTGTGTGTGGGGCGGGGGGGTTGGAGAAAAGTCTCAACTATACAAGCTCCAGTGTGTTCTAGATCAACAATTATGCATAAATGTTGTGCTCCTCTGTAACAATGATTAGTTCTATAATCCTGGTCGGGTTTTTTTCAAATATTATTCCTTTCTTCTGTCACTAGGGTTGTTTTTCCTTCCTGTACATTATACGCTGATTTTAGACCACCACAGAACCAGGGAAGTCTATAAATATTTTTAATATATTAGTGTTAGACCCATACTTTTTTTAAAAAAACAACAACATATCTCCCAATACATTTTTCTACTGAGAGATAACAGTTTTTATCTTCATCTACGTGTAAAATACAGATTACCCCGTATTTTAAGAAAGTGCATTTGCACTGCTTTTTTCTTAACTAATCCAAGAACTGCATTTATATTAGTGCATACAGTTCCTTGAGAGGAAATGTATCCAAAAGAAAAAAAACCCTGCATGAACAGAGTTGTATATGGTTAAGTGAACAGTTGTAGTATCCATTTTTTTCTTTATATTTTCACACTATTCTGAATATTAGTTCATTCATGTTGAGCACTGAGTAGAATTCTGTATCAAGCATAGAAACAGATGCAGAAACCTTTGCCACTACTAATTCAATTTTTTTTCTCTGCGCACATGCATTTTAAGTGTTATTAATGATCAACAGCAAAATATATTTTGCCCAGTTGTTGACATCTCTTGAAAAGAAAAAAGAAAAAACTATTGCCATTTTTCCATGGGGGGGGGGTGGTTCTTCTTCCTCCTCCTCCTCTTCCTCCTCCTTGTTGTCATCTTCTCCTTCTCGGTATCTCTGTATCTTTCTAGTTTATAGCTAGTTAACCTGTTAAAACCTGGTTTAAATCCAAGATTTCAGAGTTGTGTATCAACAATATATGCATAACCTGGAATCTGGTATGAACCTCCTTCTCCTTTCAAAGCTGAGAAGAATTTAAAAATTCTTGAACACCAATTATTTCGTTCTCTCCCCCCACCCCAAATTCACTTGAAAGAGTCAAGGAGGGAAGTTGATTAAGCAACGTCCCTCTTTAAAAGCTTTTGTACTGGCTGAACAAATCAAGGCAGACATAAAGCATGATCTGTAAAATCGACAGCTTTGCATTTAAGTTAAGAGGTTAGCAGTCTCTGCCATTGAAAACCCTATTTCTGGCTCAGAGAACTTCCTCTGAAAATTGGCAGCATTTTCAGTTGAGAAAGATTCAAAAACGGCAATGTAAAGCCTAGCCCAGTTTGAGCATGGAGTGAAAAGCAAAAATGAAGGAAAATGGGAAATGATAGTCTGATTTATGTGTGTGATAACACCCACCTACTCTTGTCTCTCCCCCCCCCCCTTAAATTACTGATCTCAGGCTGGTCTCAGGGATCTGTGGAGGTCCAGATGTTGCTGAACTAGAACTCCCAGCATTCCTTACCATTTCCATTCTGTTTGGGAACTTAAGTTTAGCAACACTCCAAGAACCACCGTTTCTCCACCTCTAGTACAAGACATCTCCCTCTGCTTTTGGGAATGTGTCTTTGCCAGTATAGGCAAGGTTAGGACAGCAACTGATTGGTTTCTACCAATTTGTGAGTTTTGATGTTTTTTTTAATTGGCTTTAACCTTCTTCCTCTTATAATTATTCCTGTTGA